CCCAGAGGCTGGTTGGGCACTGACCAGGCTCCCCAGGGCAGTGGGCACAGCCCCAAGGCTGCCAGAGCTCCAGGAGGGTTTGGCTGATCCTCTGGGGCACAGGGTGGGACTCTTGGGGATGGGCCTGTGCAGGGCTGAGGGTTGGACTCGATGGTTCTTGTGGGTCCCTTCCAGCTCAGCATATTCTGGGATTCTGCGATAAAGAATTAATCTTCTCTTGCTGGCATTGTCCAGCCTACCACTACTATGTTTTTCCAAGGGTAACTCACCAATTACTCTTCAGTCTTTTTAATTCCTTGATTTGAAATAAATGGCAAATAAATATAGTAAAGTGAATTTACATAGTGCATCAATTAGATAAATATTCACTTGAAATATAAGCAAACCATTCAAACTGGGAGGATAATAATTTTTGAAGCTGTTTCTAACTTTTAAAGGATTACTTTAGACCTTTTCCTGCAGTCTCAACGACTCCTATTTTATTTTTTCACATAGAATTTACAATGATTCCTACCATTTATGTCATGCAATAGTGCTTCTAAATTAGAAAACCAGACTGGAACTTCAGCAGCCTGTCTGAGTATTAACCAATTTCGGCTCCTCCGTTCTGACAAAGCCCTGGCTGAGAGATAAAAAAGAATTGCATACCTTACTTGTTAAGAGCTATTCATGCCAACTCTTCCTCTTGCTGCTATGCACTAATCACAAATTAGAAAACATTTTAATATTTTCAACACAGAGGCCTCGTGCAAACCCAGATATGAGAAAGAAGTCAGAAAAGCTACAAAATCTTTGAACGTATGCTTATGGTGCTTTAGCAAAGAATTAATTGACCAGAACATGTGCAGGCTGCTCTCCAGTCTGTGGATACATAAGATGCAACTGTAGCAAACAGTCTGTTTTTTAAAAGTAAGTCTTTAACAATAAAAATTGTGATTAAACCCAAAACATTTTAAGTGTTCACTTTTTGCATTCAGGATCTCACTTGACTTTGCCATTTGCTGATTTGGGGAAGCCAAATGGTAGTTTTCTCCTTCACTTTCTGTTCATACCAGGTTCCCTTTTTAGCTCTGACACTAAACACAGCAGGACTGCGTTTAAATAAAAACATGCAGTTTCCTTGGGTCTTGTGGATATATTTTCCAACTCACAGATATTCCCACTCATATCAGACTCCGTAAAAAACAAAACAAAAAGCAAAGTCTAACCCACGTTTTAGTCCTAAGATATTTGCCAGTAGTCCTTTAATCCTGAAAGATAAAACCAGAATAAGATCACTACATTTTTGCAGAGCAAAAAGCCCTCCTGAAATAAAGCCTTAAAACTGTGGGGGGTTTTCCTGAGTACTTTGCCATGCACTAAAATAGCCAATTGCATCAGAAGGTCTGAGGCACGAGCAAAAGTTTGACATTGACACTTCCAGGCTCAGCAGAAAAATTATCCTGTCATTTGAAAAAGTATTTACTACCTTGTAGCTGCTCTTTCCCATGCCAAGTATTTCTGTCCTCTCAGAACTGCTTAGGAGGGGTGCTCTTCCTTATTTTAACTTGGCTGCCATCAATAAGGGGTAACTGATAGAGAAGAAGAAAACAATGTGCATAGCTGCCTCTCTGGAATCCTTTGAACTAGAAGCCCCTCAAAGCTTTCACTGAAAGGCAGGTTTTTGCACTTCGGCTGGGGCTGATATCCTTGAAACCATAATATTTACATTCTTTCTCTTTTATATTGCTTTCCCTTAATGCTTCCATGAGACAGTTAAAAATAGAAGGTGAGACGCTATAACTAGACAGAAGGCTATCTAGTGGTATGGTGCTCCCCAGGACTTCATGCCTGTTCCTTTTTGATGAGTAGGGGAAATACCTACTGGGTCAATTGGGGCACCTCCTCCTACTCCTGCCAGGGAAGATTCCTACACTGCAGCCCTGCCCTGGCTCACACCCAAGAGGCTACAGATCACTTGCACAGGTTATGTAATGAAGGCTTGAGAGCTTCATGTGCCTTGCTGACCTGGAAAACTGAATTGGCTCTTCTCGTGGAGGATCTATTTGAGTTCCTTCCTTAGTTTATCTGACTTCTGTGTCACTTTGTCTGCCACCCATGTCTGTCCTGGGAGGTTATCTGGCATTGCACCACCTCAGCACAATTTCAGGAATTTGTTCTTTCCTAGTTCATGTTGTCAGTATACTTTTCAAGCAAATTGAGTTGTCTTTTTAGTGTTACTTTCTTAGTGTCTCCCCACAGTAACTAATGTCTTGAATATCAAAGTCTTATACAGAAGTAATGAGAAGTTGCATCCTTTCGGCCTTTTGTCCCAGAAAGTTTCCTGCGTGTATGATCTGCTTTGTACGGGGGATCTCCAAACTCTAAGCAGTGTGGGAAGAGAAAGACTTGTCAGTCTTCTTTCCTGCCTTTTCCCCTTTCCTCACAAGCTGCTGATGCTGTGACACAAATCCATGCAGTGTCAGAATGAGGCCATATCTTAATGCTCCTGGGAAGGATCTGGTGCACAGTTCATATGCACACGGTGTTCCCTGTGCCAGGTCTGCTTCACATCCATGCATTTCAGTCAGGGCAAGGCTATGTACCCTCAAACACAAATCCATGCTAGAACTAGAGAAAGAATGAAAACTACTGCTGTAGGATAGGACAGACATCCTATGGATGCAGGATAATACACATTATCCTTCATCCATAAATGGTTCTTGAATCCCTAGGATCAGTCACCATTTCTCTATTAACCTGCATTTACACAGCTTAAAAAGCAGCAATGTTAAAATGGATCTGATGGTTTCTTATTCCAAATGCATTTCTTCTCTATAAATAATGTTTAAATATGATTAACTGTATTTCAGCTGTGAAAAGGCAGAAGTGACTAAATGACTGAAGTAATTTTACTGACTTGATTGTGAAAATCCAAACACTGGCCTAGTTCTTCAAATTTTCAAAAATCATAGCTTAAATAATTCATTTAATAAGTTTTCCATTCAGCTACCAGTGCAGAGATTTTGGTTTGTTCTCATTCTTTTTCTTACAGAAACCAACAGAGCCATCTCTACTCACACTTCACAAGACCAATTCTGTGTCTTTTGTAACTTATTAAACAAATTAAATACATCTTAAAAACAAAACAAAATAGAAATAATAAAATCTTCCAACTATTAAAACACAACTTTCACTTATTACACTTCTCAGTCAAGAATATTTAAGGACTTTAAGAGAATGGTTTACCACTGTGAAAAAAAATCTATTAATTTATGTCATGTATTATACAGAAGTAAACATACAAAATGGAGACACATAAATTATAGCTTCTTACATGAAACAAGACTGTATAATACAATAGAGTCATTAATTGTGACATTTATGCTGTTGCCATTAGAGTTTCCCTATAAATGTATATATGCATGTACATGCACATACATACATATATATTTGTCAGTGTTGTTTGGTGTGTGGAATAAACAACACTGAAATCAAACTAGTTCCACTACAAAATATCTCCAAGTATCCTTGGTTTAATTTCCACTTTTATTTTTTTTGGTCTTTCCATTTCTCCCTCACCGACTTTGCTTCTTCCTTGCTTTATTTTGTGACTGATTTTTTGCTGTTCTTTGTGCTTGATTAGTCTTTCATTTTGTCTGCCAAATGCCCTCTCAATCTAGATTCCTCTTCAAAACCATTAATTTCTCCACCTCTACCCTTTCCTTTAAATGCAACCAATGGTTTGTCTCTTTAGGGCTGCAAAGCTTTTCACTAGGGCCTATGCTTTCAGTGTTTATTTGTACAATATCTGATTTATTTGCAATCCTTTGAAAATTCTTACTAATATTTTAGTAGGGTTTTTTCTTCTCACACTTAAGAATTGATATAGTGTTTGTCTTTTTTGAAGCCAGAGAGATAAAACAGTGATCCATAACTAGATGGACAAAGCACAGTGGAAAAATTAGGTGGTTTCAGCCAGAAAAACTAACAATCAAGAACCTTTTGGCAGGTCTGAATTTTAACTTAAAGCTGCAAAATACATCATTTGAGACAGCTTCAAGTCTTGACCAAATCTTTACTGGAAATTACAGTAGCAAAACAAAGCAGAGTCTCCTGAGGCACCCTCACATCTCAGCTAACGGATTTAATCACCTGGCAGCTTGCAAGCATTTATTTCACGTAAGAGGGAATGTTCCAGATGATTCTGGAATTTGATGGAAAAGATTTTGAGTTCAATAATATTAAAACCTCTGGCAGCACTAGTCATTGTCAGACTTGCTGGGCCCAAAATATGATTTCTCTTCAAATATTATTTCCTTCTCAGAGTTTAAATGCTGTGAGGCTCCAACTTACACTTGTTCCTTGCATGACCAACTGGCTAGAACTTTTACAGACAAAACCCAAACAATTCACCACGGGGCCCCGCCATAAACAAAGTCATATATGAATGCTATTTTTATTGCACAAGCTGTAAAGATTTCCTGGAAGCTCATCTGTGCTGAGTACATTATACCTAAGAGAGGTTTCCATAATACTGCCTCCAACTCCATAGACTTTCCAGGAGACAGGAAAATTTTGAGTATCCCGCTCCAGAAGAAGCGCTCAGATTAAAGGAAAGTATCATTAGCCAGAGTCTAATAAGTTTATAAGTCTGATTAAGCATTATTTTTTTTCTTCTGGAGATGGCAGTAGTGTCCATGCACAGATCACTTAATTGGCTTTCTGACTTTTCATTTGAGTGCCTGGAGAGAATAATATTACCTTTAATAGTTGAAAGATGTGACAAAGAGAGAAAGATATTCCTGCATCATATGACAAACTGGTTTCTTTCTCTCTCCTCCCCATTTATATCCTCAGCATGAGGTGTTTCTTCATCTCCAATCCGTTTGGCCATCCCAACTGCTGCCAGTCACACCTCCACACGCAGCTCACCAGCCCTGAAAAACTGTGGGGCCACACAATCATACAGCTCTCATGAAGCTGACCTTTTCAAATAGGTTGATTTTATTTTTCCAGATCAAGCTTGTATCAACAATATCCCACCAGATAAACATAGCTGAGGAAATAAAGAACCCAAACACTACATGGGCAAGCTGCAACAATGCCATTAATCTGCTCACCTGCCTGTCCTGCCTCCTCCCACCCCAGCCCCACATCAACTCCAGATCTTTCAGATGATTTTAGTGTTTAGTTAAACAAAGAAGGTCTTTTCTGCTGTTCCAAGTCTTTCAGTTTCTTGTCTAAATAGTTCCAAGTGACAGTTTTTAGCATATAGCATTCTGCCTCCTTCCCAGCCTTGTGCAGACCACCCAACACTTCTGCTCCTTTACCCTCCCTTCTCCTCCCACAGCTTGTTGCATCTTGGGTTGAAATTTCTCAGAGGATCAACAACACAACACATGTTCCACTTGTAACAGATTCAGCGTGTGACAGGTGAAGTCCTGATCCCAAGTGGTCCTTCGATGCTGTATAATACAAACCGACACATAGATTTTTGGTTTTAAAATAACCTTCTGATTCATGCTCCCCTGGTATTGGCAAGACCACGTGAGTGTGACAGAAATAAACTGTGTGACCTCCATATCAGCAGGGGATCTGCCTTAGGTTGTGTTCACAGAGCAGAAATGGGAGCAGGGGGAGCCAAACAGGCAGCACTTCAACGTTCCTCCTCCCCCTCCCTACCTCAGCTATACCTCAGCCTTTGCAGGGCTCTGCCTCCATCCTCCAGGGCTTCCTTCTAGGCTAAACTTCTGTTTGTTTCAGGGTCCTCACAACACATTTCCAAATTCTACAAAACAAAGAGCATTAGTCTTATTTTTTACAATCTACAGATGAGTGTCAGAGAACAAGATACTGTCAAGCAGGAGAGCTCCAAATGTCTTTCTAAACAGAAATTACTTTGTTGAATAAAAAGCATTTCAGAGCCAAGGAATGATCATGTTTATTTTCTTATCTCTTTGATGAAACAGAACTGATTTCTCTTAGGTTCAAAGAGATTGTGCTTGGAGAGCTCAGTTTTTAGAACTGTAAATCCTAACAATCCCATTAGGTTCTCCTTGCAGTTTAAACTTTTGCCAGCAAAGTACAGTGTCTGTATTTTGCTGGGTGTGGTCCGATGCACGTCCAGGAGGTCTCTCAACCATATGGTTTCTGATGGTTTTAACCTATGATTAAATCAATCTAAAAGAACAAAAGCTGTGTGGGAGAAAAGAACTTCATCTAGAATTGAAAGAAAATTGAATCAAGTGTCATTTTCTGAGCATTTAAAAGGTGTTTCATCTACCAGCAGGTGCTAAAGACAGGAAAGCCTTACCCAGTGATCAGTGCCTTCCCTCCCATGTAGAGCAATGGGTTCTGATCCTCATCCACAAACCACAAGATTGGTGAGCAGTTTTTCTAGCAGAAAACATAGAAGAATTTGCCTTAAAAAAAACCCTACTTTTGTCCTTCGAAACCCTTTAGAAATCCACTTGTTAGTCTTTTCTTCATGTTCCCAGTTGCAGAGATGCTGAGAATTACAGTGCAATAGGCAGGTTTGAACTGTGTGTGCGTGTGACATGACACACTCCTTTGTGCAGAGGTGCAGTCAACTTACACAGAGTAAGTTACAACATTACAGCATTTGTAATGATGGCATCACAATGTTTCAGGGGAATACAATAACATGCAACTCCTGTACCTCAAGTTCTTGAGATTAAAACTGTTCAAACCAGTAAATATACTTCTCAGAATAACCATGTTTATAACAAAAAAATTATGTACTTGATTGTTCCATAGTGGCACCAAATACAGTGTCCAAATTTGGGGATCCCACATAAAATATCCTGTACCAGGAGCTCATAACAAGAGAGAAAATTCACAGCTGAGCCATCTCTAGTACTTGCCTGGCTGTGCTCCCTCCGTGCCCATGTCCCATGTCTGGCAACAACCCCTCCCCTGGCCTGGACAGCTCTCCCAGACCCCACAGCCCTTTGCCTGGCCCTGTGCTGGGTCTGCCCCATGCCAAGCACAGCAGAGTTCTGGGGCCCTTCCCCTTATTCCCAGTGTCCTGAGGATGCCGCTGTGCTGGGAGCACCAGGACAGGAGGACAGAGCCTGGTCAGCGCAGCGAGGCCCCAACAGACCCTTCAGGAGCCAGGCAGGGCTGTTGGTTCCCCTGTGCTCTGAGCCTCTCCCTGTACCCCTGAGGAGCCAGGTTCAGTCTAACCAGGGAGGTGGATGAAAGGGATCACTCACTCATTTTGTTACATCACAGCACATTCCTCGGACCCCAGGCCTCAGGGGCTTTACTGAACTTGCTGTGTGTTACACTCACTTGGCTGTCTCATTAAACACTACATTTGGCAAATTCTACCCGCCTAAGGCCTTGTCTGCACAGCAAAGCTTCACCAAAGTTTTGCACACCCAAGGTCAACTCAGGGCATGGAAAATGCACATCCTGTAGCTCACACTATTACAGTGGTGGGACTCCAGGGACTGACATTAATTGTGCCAGCAGCAAAGTCCAGGGCAGTGACCTTCTGCTGCTTAGGAAGGTGAAGTCCCTAAAGCAGCAGAACAGGCTGTGGCTCCATGAGGTAGTCTGTCCTGTAGCCACAGCACCATAAATAGCTTTTGCTGGGTGCACAAGGCATACTAACTGCAAGCTCTACTTGTACATTCCCATCTAGCTTCTCTTTGTTCACTTTCCTTATACACCTTATACACCTTTCTTATACACCATAAAGCTCCTTTGCCTTTACTTTGGGAAAGACTCACAGTTGCCTCAGGATGTAACAGAAATTCTCTGTGAATTTTTCATGTTGTGTTTACAAAATACACAGGTTAAAACATGCTTTTGGAGCTCAGTTTCTTGCAGATATCAATTATATGAAGGCTCTTTTTGTTAAAAAACTATCAGCATTTCACCGGGGGAGAGATGTTCAATAGCAAGAATGCAAACTGATGGGAGTCAAGGGAGCCAGTGACAGGCAAAGAGGGCAACACCAGGTCTTTGGGATTGTCACTGACACATCATGACAAACATTCCCAAACATGTTCTGCACAAAATAAACTGTGCCCTTTCTCCTTAAAATAAACATCTTTGATATACTTACTGAAACCAGGAATGTGCCATTATTAATGATAATGTAGTGCAGGAGACAGCTTTTCTTAAGGTTACCCAAAATATTTTTGCTGCTACATCAGATGTATTGTTAGAGCTCACCAAACCCAGAGCTGTGGTGCACCTGTTTTCTCTCAGACACATCTTATTTTTCTTCCTTGGAAGTCCCAGCTGGCGTCCAGGTTTTCTTAAATTGCTACCAGAGCTAATTGCTAAATTGCTACCAGAGCAATGCCCCAGAAGATGGGGAGTTGCTTTCTGCAGTGAAAGGTGAACAAATGGGGGTTCACCAGAACGGCCAAAGGGACGGAAAGAGCTGATGCTGAGAGCAGCACGGGAGGGAAGAGGGGATCAGCAGCTGCAGCCAGGCAGCCAACCACAGGAGTTTCAGGGGCTTTGATTTGGGGGTTCTCAAAGCAGGAAAATTTTAGTGAGGCTCAGGGGAGAAAGGAGTAGCTTGGGGCTGGTAAAAAGCTGGCAAACAGGTGGTTCTGTTGGGAGTCACTCAGCTATGAAATCACAAACCCGGGGAAAATATTTACTGAAGCCCAGATTTGCTCCACCTGAAGGCACAGCAGGCAGTCTGTTTTCTTCATTTGTTTTTTATTTCTTTTGCTTGTTTGGATGCTCTGTGATATTATTCCAATATTATTTTTAGGTGGTTTCTCATTTAAGAAGACACTGCATTCAGCCTAATTCAGTCCAGTCTGGGACTGCTATTCCCTCACAGAAAAATTAATCTCACACTGGTAACTGCAGCAAATCCAGCAGCAGAAAGAACAAATGGCAAAAGCTAAGGGTAGGCAATGGTTTTGAACTTGCATCCAGCTAGGGAAGAGAAATGGAATCCACCTCAGTCAGCACACTCACAAGGTGGGAACAGCTTTGTTGAAACACTTAGAGAGAAATTATTGACCACAAAATCATGCATCTGGTTAAAAACTACAATAACAACAAAGAATACCAACACTAAAACCCTGTTCTAAGGGGCTTATAATACTAAAATACTAATGATAACTTTAAAATTTAATTAAATCTGGACAATTGTATACACGCAGATTGGAAAAGACTGATATTCATCTCAAGAGGCAGTATCAGCATTTTCACACTCTGGCTTCAGGAACCACATCAGGAAATCAAACAAATATTATTCCATGTGTGCAGTGAACTACTTTCTTCTTGTAACAAGCAGACAAAAATTATTTTCTTAATAAACATACAACAGACAAAAGCGCTACTGAGAAAGATCATAAGACTAAGAAAAAAAACTCAGTACTATTGATGAAAACAAAGCTTTCCTCCTTCCAGTCAGGAGTGGCTGGGATTGACACACGTGGATGGCTTATGGCTGGTGTCCCACAGAGGCAGCTTTGCAAGGTGCTGTGTAGATGGGATGGAGATGAGCACTTCATGCTGCTGGGGAGACTTGGAAAATACCCAGAAGGAATAAAACCAAACAGATGATGCAACCAGACATGTATAAGCTCAAAACGCCCAGTCAAGGCTAGGTAGGAATTTTATTCAGGGATATGATCTCAGGAAGAAAACAGCACTGCAGGAGAAAACTTACCCAGGCTGATAAATTCCAAGCCTTGGCATTTTCCAGCAAATGCACTGCTGAAGGGATTTCAGGGAATGCCATAGAGAGCCTGTACTGCAGGGCATGCTCCCTGCACAGCACACTGACATGGGAGGGCTGTTAGAGGGGACCAGACTGGATGAGGGCCTCAGTCCCACCACACTGGACACAGGTTCTCTCCAGGAACTCCAGCACAGTCAAGTCACATTAAACTTTGTCTGCATCACATTCCCATTGGTTTTACAGCTGAAAGAGAGGATGGGACATTGCACTGTCAAGCAAGGAAAATAGCATTAGAAATGAGTTTTAGGGTAATTTTAGGGTAGGTTCTTTTCTTAGAAGTCTTCAATCCAAAGACCATTAGTTACTACCAGACTAAACCACACTGAAAATACACAGGGCATTTGTTGCATTTTTCTAAGCAGCCCACCATTTCTAGATTGATAATTCCCACTTTTCCTACTCTTATTACCTTCCTTATCTTAGGGAATGGAGTCCCCAGCAAGCAAGATTAGTCTCTTGTGAGAGTCGTTACATTACCAACAACAATAAACAAGCAGTAATCATTTTAAGATTTAAAAAGGGGTTCAGGGAAATACTCCTTCCCTGCTTTCATTTTCAGGAAAAGAAAAAAAGATTCTTCAGGGGAATTAAGGGGGAGAGGGCAATTCTTCCCTAGAGGTTCAAATATATCTCCCAGGCAGCACAAAAAAAATGTTGGTATTCTGTACCACCCAGTGCCTGCCCACTTCTATGCTTGATTACCCCGATAAATCAGAAAACCTGTTTGTTACAGGCTCTCCTTCCATTACAGCTGTTGCTCTGGTTAACATCTTCTGAATCATCCAATTCATCAGGATCACATACACGGGGCTTTAATCCTTTGATTTTTTAAGTTACTTTGTTCTGAATTTTTCGCTTCATCCCCTCACTGACAGAGAAACTGAATAAAGACAAATAAGTCAGAGTAGCATTGTTTTTCTCCCCTGCTTTTTATTTTGCAAGGGAAATAGGAAGAGGGGACAGGGTAACTCTCCATTTCACAGTTCTTTAGTGGTATCACTCAGCCCTGACAGTGCAGCCTGAAACTTGAAGAGTCTGAAAACAAGTGCTGAACTTCGGAAGTGCAGTTAGCCCCACTGTGTTCTCACAGATATTAAAATGCTATTTTAAAAAAATGTATATTAAATAGACAAATAACTTGATGGTTATTCCAAGCCCTCCATCACTGCTATGTCTTTCAGTACTAATTTCTGTAAATGGAACAAACCTGGGAATTGAGTTCCAACTGAAGTGTAATAGTTTCACAAATTACAGGGAGTGTTGGAGCTGGGATGGGAAATGGGGAGTGCAGTGGGTCAAACGATTGCTAATGGGCTCTCGAGTCACTTACCTGCTCAAAGCAAAGTCAGACCTGAGTACAACACTGGAAGGCCACCAGAGAATGTGGTCTACAGCACTGCTCCTCTCAGCAGGGTTTTAGGATGAATGCACCCAGTGACCCCCACGCTCATCCCCATGCCCCAGCAGGCCCTCCCAGCAGGTCTCCAGGCTGCCTCACTCAGGGTCACTCCCCAGGGTAGTGCCAAGTGAAGAATAAGCTTTAAGAACAGCGACAAGACAAACCTGCACCCCTTTGAGAGGCTTCAGCAGCCAGGCCACCTCCTCCCAGGGAGGGCTGAAGCAAACACAGACTGCTCCCTGGAGAAACTCC